ATATAGGGTGCACAGAGTCAGAAAACAGGTAGGAGTAACATGTGTTAAAAATCGTTTTTTATGTATTAACAATCCGATGAAAATGATCTTTTTCAGTCATTTTTACACAGTGGCGCCTATATATATGAGTGCAGCACGTGTTAGAGTTCATTCCAGTCACAATAAAGGTAGGAGTAGCATGTATTAAAAATCATTTGATGGATAGTAACAATCTGATTAAAATGATCTTTTTCAGTCTTTTTGAGACTCTGTGCACCCTATATATATATATATATATGAGAGCAGCACGTGTTAGAGTTCATTCGAGTCAGAAAAAAGGTAGGAGTAACTTGTGTTAAAAATAGTTTTTTATGTATTAACAATCCGATGAAAATGATCTTTTTCAGTCATTTTTACACAGTGGCGCCTATATATATGAGTGCAGCACGTGTTAGAGTTCATTCCAGTCACAATAAAGGTAGGAGTAGCATGTATTAAAAATCATTTGATGGATAGTAACAATCTGATTAAAATGATGTTTTTTAGTCTTTTCGAGACTCTGTCCACCCTATATATATATATATATATATATATATATATATATATATGAGAGCAGCACGTGTCAGAGTTCATTCGAGTCATAAAACAGGTAGGAGTAACATGTATTAAAAAATCGCTTTATGGGTAGTAACAATCGATGAAAATGATCTTTTTCAGTTATTTTTACACAGTGGCCCCTATATATATGGGTGCAGCACGTGTTACAGTTCATTCCAGTCACAAAAATAGGTAGGAGTAGCATGTATTAAAAATCGTTTTATGGGTAGTAATAATCCGAGTAAAATTATCTCTTTTGTGTCTTTTTTTGAGACAGTGGCCCCCTATATAGATGAGTGCAGCACGTGTTACAGTTCATTCGAGTCTCAAAACAGGTAGGGATAACATGTATTAGAAATCGGTTTTTCGGCATTGTTAAGCCGGTTAAAATCTTTTTTGTTCAGTCTTTTTTCATGTAGGTCGGCGCAACATATATTTGAGTGTGCGACATAGTTCAGGTGATTGGGGTCGCACGATAGATAGTAGTATCATATGGCACATGGAGAGGTAGGGAGGGAGGAAAAATTGCAAGCGTTTGTTAATGTGCTGCACCAAAGCAGCTTTCAGGGAAAGGAGCATGTGTTTTCGAAATCGAGAAGTATGACGGCGGCCTTCGAAACAATAACCGGTGTTGGGGTTTGGGGTCAACGAAACAGTATTAGTTGGAAGGAGAAACGGGTTGGAACAAGTTTTATCAAAAATAAACGTGTACGCTATTATCGATGACACGCCTGAGAAAAAGTGACGAGAAATAGCGCATGCACACAAAGATAAGAACATCCGCCACAAATTACAACCTTCGCCAGTTATATACCCCACTGTTATGTCACTTGGAATTTCGTGGCCAGTCGTCCCTCCGGTTCTTATTGATTTCTCTTCGAACCACCAAACGCATGCTGCTTCATCCATGAAAGTTCCGGGTGGTTGACATGTCGCATTTAGTGATGTCTTTTACTGTGTATCTTTTTTTTAAAGGTATTTTCGATATTGTATGAGCTGTTTTATGGGTAAAATATCTTAGAATATTTTTCTGCAAGTTACCTTTTTGTAGATATTTTATAGTTTATCGTAGCTCTTCTAATGAACAAAAATCTTGAAATGCGTGTTTCTAATAGTACCTGACTGTTAAGGTATTTTTGGAGCTGTAATAGCTATTTTAATAAGAGAAGATGTTTTTTGAATGGTACCTTATTTTGAAGGTACTTTGAGACTTTAATACGCCTGGAAAGAGAATGGCTATCATTTACCACAAATCTGGTTCCCTGAATTCATCCCTAAATCATATCCAGATTTTTGGATAAATCATCAATTAACGTTTAAACTGGTGACCAAATAGGGATTTTGATTTAGGGATTTTTCAATTTTGGGATTTTTTTTTTTTGAAAATGACATGTAAGATATAAACCATAACCATTTGTCTTGTAAATACTCATACTATTCTATGCAGTTGTTTAGTATTGTTGTTGACTAAATACCTGTTAATTATTAGTTTCATAAGATATATCCCATTCAGATTTTACATATACCTACACCACGATCTGGGCACCAGAAATAGAAAATGTATGAGAATAAAAATAGAGAGGACAGTCCCGAATAAATCGATACTGCCAGCAAAAGAAAAATGAATTTCAAATGTGAATGTAAGCCAATACAAAGATTGAGTACAACACAATTCTGGTGACCAGAGCAGACTTACAGGCAGTACAACTTTCGCTGAAATACTTGGTTTCCATAATACAAGGTTTTCAGTATGGTAAAAGTAGAATGGTGTTTGATACTATATATATTGCATGTATTTTACTAAAAAAACATCCCTAAATTAAAAAATCCCTAAATCAAAATCTCTATTTGATCGCCAGTTTAAACGTTAATTGATTATTTATCCACAAATGTGGATAAGATTTAGGAATGAGTTCAGGGAACCAGATTTGTGGTAAATGATAACCTACCTTGGAAAGAAAAGATCTCACAAAGATCTGAGAAAGATCTAAAAAAGATCTCAAAAAGATCTTTTTTCTAGCACTTCCCGATTTGTAAGGTATTTGTGGATCTTCTATTTTTTGCGGAACGGTCGTATACGGCCGTGTACGGCCGTATTTTCGCCGTATACGGCGGTATACGCCGCCGTAGACGACCGTATACGGTCGTTTCGGGTCGCCGTAAAGCTCGATCAGGGAAGTAAATATGGGGTAAATCGGGCTAACCCTTATTCACTCGCCAAGCCTTTAATCAGCTGATGGCCGAAGAATACTGAAGTAACATGTTCTATGAGAAATATTTTGATCAATGCGTGCCATTGTCTTGCAGCTACTTGTACATTGATAAAAGCAATTTAACCAACGGAACGGCAACTCTAATTAGATTCTATAGTGGTTTACTGCTTATCAGTTGAACGACTGTCTCATCATTGTCAAACGATTTCGATATCGAATACGAAGAATTAGTGCAACAACAGATTAGTATCGAGAGAGTCAATGACTTTTTCTTTGCTCTAATCAAACCATCGAGTGTAAAATAAGTCAATATTTGAAATATCGCTATTTGGATATTATAAAGCAATGCTCGAGATTATCTTCAATTTTTCAATCAAAGCTCAAGTTAGATGTCGCTCGAACACGTTCTTGCAAAAACCAGTTCTAGAATCAAAAAGAAAAAAGAAAAAGTTTTTATTTAAGTAAATGAACTGAAAGTTACACACGTTTTTTAAGAAAACGAACATTCACAGAAGTCTGTTCCATAGCAACATCATCGATAATGTTCGGTCAATCAGTTCAATACACTGTAAAAAATGTCTCATGTCTTACAAGACGTTTCACCCGTGTTAAGTCTAGTTTAGACGCGTACAAGACACGCAATGCGTCTTGTTTTAAGACATGTTAGTGATACAGACAGGAACGCGTCTTAATGTATTCTTTTGTGAGTCCCTCATCCGACGTCATCCCTTGTTCAACTATAACAATTCCCCAAGATGAGAACTTTGTGTATGTTCAATTTTATCAATTTCATTTTTACATAACAATTGTGTTTTGCTAATAACCTTCTAGAGGAAAATATTAAATATATTATATTAGCGCCCTCTTTGCTTTATCATGTATTCTTTTGTTTAATTTATTTTCATAAGTGATAAAGAATCATCCTAGATATTTTATATTAATTTAATATTTGTTCTCTTTTAGGATCATAAGACTGATCGTTGTGCTCCTCACCTTTGTATATCATTAAACCTTTTAAATCGAAAGTGTTAATGTTTTTTTAATGTGTAAATTTTAATTTTTTTTTCCAGATATTCATATTATTTCCCATTGTTTTTGCATTTATTAGGTTTTGTCTGATGTCTGAAATGGTTTTATAAATATATCAATGAAACTAATGAATTTTTCTTTCATCTATTTCCAATATAACATTTAGTAATTTATTTATTTCTTAGATAATAATAAACTTGTTGATAGCGGCATGGTACAAGAGTGGTTTATAATTAAAATTAAAAAAATGATGTTTAATGCAAGCGCAATTCAAGTTCCGCAGAAAAAAAATGTTTAAAACGACTTATAACAGAAAACGAGATAGACCTTGAGCATCTACCTGATTTTAAACTTCAACATTTTTTTCTAAAGCTGCTTTATAGGAAATAAGTTTTTACTTTCACTTGCCGACTTGTCTGGCGTAATTTTTTTCAGACACTTCAGCTAATCTATGACTTACTAATTCTAGAATAGAGACAGTTTTATATGAATTTCAGATGTAAGGAAAAATATTTTCAATAAGATATTTTTTTTCATAAATTTCACTTGCGTTCAAATTAAACTAAAAAATTAGACAAAAAAATTCCAAACAAACTTCGTCACATATTTTTTAAATGCTAAATGAAATTCCTAAGTGAGATTTATTAAGATAAGATATTTTTTATAATATAATATTTTATTTAATAAATCTCTTTTTTTTAATTTCACTTAACATTTAAAAAACACATGAGGAAGTTTTTGGAATTTTTTGTCTAATTTTTTAGTTTAATTTGAACGCAAGTGAAATTTATGAAAAAAAATTTTCTTATTGAAATTTTGTTTCTTTATATTTAATATTCATATAAAACCGTGTCTATTCTAGAATTAGAAAGTCATAGATTAGCTGAAGTGTCTAACTTAGACGTTCAGCGACCAATCAGAAACAACTCCAAGTGTCTTGTTTAAACGAACGAATCGTCTTATTTATACACTTCATGTGTCTTGATTTTTTTAGAGTGTATGCGCAAGTGACAAAGTGAAAGAATGAATCCATCTCAAACACGCATTATTCTACCGACGAACGCCACGAGTGCTGCCAATCCTCTTGCAGATACTATTCCAACGACGATTGCTCACGATACAGTAGTACAGACGAATCGTGAGGGTGAACCACCCGAATATCGTGAAATTAAGACAACTGAACAAATTCTTGAGCCGATTCTATTAGAAAAAGCTCCACTAGCAAAAATGATGACAAAGAAAACAACAACAACAACAGTTGAAGAAGTACCAACGGTTCCAACTTCAAGGATAACAACGACTATCCAAGAGATACCCGCCTCAACGAACTATGTATTGAAACAAGCAAATGAATTTAAACCGATAGCTGTAATCTCTGATACTACGCCCATCAATAGTGTCAACAATCAGATTGTTGGAACAACGAATACGGGTAGTTTGACAACACCAGGCAAAATTGTCGGCGATTTAGAACCAGTCATTTCAGAACAGTATGTAACTACAGTGGCCGAACCAGTGACAAAGAAAGTCATCAAAACTGTAACCCACGAAACCAATAATTAAAATCAAAAACTAAATTGTTTTCTATTCAAGCATTATTGCTAGCTAATCAAGCTTTTTGTATATCAATATTTATTTTTCACTTTATAATATATCGTCACTTTACGAGAAGAGATCTTGCTCTCAAATGGCGATGCCAACGATGACGAGATTGTGAAACCATTTTCGCCTTTTTCGATCGGGACCATTCGGGTTTGTTATGCATAGCTTCTTGATGTTAATCGCTTTCTTTTTTTCAGGCAAAGCTGATTTCCAAGAGTTCCTCTTGACTTTGGCTCTAATGACTCCTAGCTCGCCTATGAACAACTTATCAGTGCTACTTGCTCTGCACGATTATAATGAGTTTTGTTTTGCTTTCGATTAAGCAGTTGTTCATTAAATGTGAATAATGACAATGGATAACATTGATTTTTATGTCGAATAATAGCATTTCGAAATAAGACATGTTGTCGGATTAGTTGTTTTGCACAACTGGTTGTACTATGAACTGCTCATAAAATAATTATAGTAGTTTTTCAACAGGTCCAATTGTTTCTTTTGTGACGTACTCGGCTGATTCAAGATTGATTGCTGTAACGAAGGACAAAAACAGAATTTTGTGCGTATTTTGGGTCATATAGCGTATATTTGTTGTCATTCTGCAATGAAAGATACTACAATATTTTACTAGCTTTATATTTCGACAGTGATTTGATCGAACCGAATCTATGTTGTGTAGTCAATGGTATCTTCACATGCAATAACGATTCATCGATTAGAGCTATCGTCTTGAACAGAGACCACGATTCTCGTCGATATTGACAATCGAATAAAAGTTGCATAAGTTTCTTGAAAGTTCCTCGATATATTGTATAAAGAGAATCAGTTAAGAAGGATGTACCATCAACAAACTATTTCAACATCGTCAATGAACAATGTCCTATAAAGAAAAAAACAGAACCAACGATCAATTGTGTTGACAATAATCCATTGTTTTCCATTATTCTTTATAAATATTTTAATAGCTGAAATGAATGTGATTAAAAAACAAAAATGCTTTTTTTTTGTAATAATATCTCATGTGTGGAACAGCTGAATAGAAGTTGTCGACGTATTTTATTTTCTAGCTAATCCTCGCTCGAAAACACCTATGTTTTGAAGGTAGTCATTAGCTTCTGAGAGATCAAATGACATTGAACCATATCTAGATGTCCGTAACGATTGCATGATACTTCATTTCCTCCCGAAGCATTTCCATTTTGCGTGTTATTGAAAACAGTATTATTTCCTTGATTTAATCCTCGAGAATCAAGTTTTGTGACTCATTGTTTAGAAACTTATACTGGCTACATTTTAATGAAGTTACATGCATACCTAAATTATCAGCTAATTAACATACCTTCACAGAAACATTTTGAACATCCATATTTAGCATTAAAGCTTCGGTCGGCTTATCTGTACAACTTGCTTTAGTGTAGAAATGTATAATCCTTTGTTGATCAACGTCATGAACATAAAATTGTTGTCCCGTAATTCGAGTTCTATTATCTCTTCATGAATACAATTTAAGCAAGTCTCAAAAATAGCGTTTGTTGATTTATTTACAGCTGGTATGATGCCAGCAACCACAACATTCTCTAAATAGAGACGGTCTGGAATAGGTAATTAATTCAACGTAAGAACAAATGGTTACAATGACAAATTTTTGTTAGCAGTACACACACCGTCTGCATTGATAATCATAGTGGAAGAATCATTCGCTATCTCGTTAAATATTTATGCATTTTTTTGTCTGAGAAAATAGTTCAATATTTATATGCTTTTCGTCTGGTAATTTAGAATACATTCTGTGCAATTGATAAGAGTTGTTGTATTCGTGGTTTAATAGGATACAAATAAAATTCAAATCATTTTGCATTATCGCATGCCTCACACTTAATAATATCTTTCACATTTGATTCTCTACATTCGGTACAAATATGATACCATTTAAAATACGCTTTTAAATCGATATTAGAATGTAATTTTTCTTGAATTTCTCTCATACTTTTTGGAACATCTTGTACATTCAATGCACTCGCTAATTTACAAATAACATCCAAATCTCTATTATTTAGTGAACGACGAATTTTGAAAATCGTAGCCGAAGCAGCAATATCACATGATGTTGGTTGAGCTCGATGATCAGGCACCAAAAAAAATTGCATCAATATTGACATGAAATATGATATAATAAAGTCTATCAATTCAAGAAATCGAATCATTTTGTTAAGGTGAGCACAAGAATAATTCCGATTGCCCATGAAATATTCTCTTTGATATGTGGCAAAAGAGAAAAACTCACAAAAAGTATCATTGGTTGTTGTATGAGAAGAAATAAGTTACCATTCTTTGATTTTGTTAATGTTGCATCTGTCATCAATGAATCTATGAAACGGACAACGCATAGATGTAGAGAAATTATCTTTGATTTTCTAAGCGGATCGTTAAATCATGAATTACACGAAGATTAATCTAGGGTGGGGTGTGGATGTAGGTGTGTTTGTTTAACACCCACATCCACTGACACCCACACCCACGCTCCTCTTATTGTTTTGAATAAAACATCGAATTTCCTTTTCTTTAGTGATTTAAATAAATTAGAATTCGATCTTGGTTATTGTTCATCAATTTGAAAAACTGTTTTAACAAATTCTTTCTCTCCGTTTGATTATTTCTTGAAGAATATCAATAATAATAATAATAATAATAATAATTACAAAATATTTTTTTTGAAATAATTCAATTTTATTTCGATGATATTTTTGTCAAAAATGAAACGAAAAATCAATTTATTTGTTATTTAAAAGTCAATGAAATTGTATAAGAAGTCTTTTCTACAATTCGAACTGTTTGTTTTTCCATTAAATCGAGAAAATTTGAAAAAAGAAAAAGATCATTTATTTTCTCTTTTGATAAAAATTTTCTATCAAATAGATATGAAAAAAGTATTAAAAATTCCGAATTGAAGTTGAATAAGAAAAGAAACAATGTTTGGAATTCTTTCTACTTATTATTTGTTTCATTAGAAGGAGAATAATTCTCAAGAAACACAATCGACTTATTTTAAGTGATACTCTTATCATAACAAATTTTTCTTCTCTTAAACAATTTCAAAATGAAATAAAAGTTTTCTTTAAAAAAAGAAGGTTAATTTACTTTTTGATCAAACAATATCCAATACTTCATTTCTCATTCAATTATTTATTGAAACACAAACCATTGAGTCAATTGTTGTTTTCAACTGATTTCTAAAGTTAAGATTTTTCAAAGAAATTTTTCTTTCTTGTCTTTTTTATTCAGTTCGAAAATGACGATGAAAATGAACATTCTTCATCAATTCAAAAAAAAGAAAATATTTCAATCTCACTGTTTCATNCCATATAACTATAACTGAGCTCAACTTCATGAACACACAGAAAACATGGAACTAGAGGTTTCCGAGTGCGCTGAGTTCGAATCTGGGATACATTTCCCTCCAAATCTAATTGGTTGTTTGGAAACCAATAGGGATTCAGCTCTTAAAAAAATAGACGTATACTGTGTATCAAAAGGAAAGGGTAGAACTCATACTAGATCAATCACATTGATACATTGTTAATTTGAAAGGACCAACTATACATATTAAAATAAGATTGTTCACACAATCAAGTCCTATATTGTCTTCCAGCTAATTTTTGTAAGAACTATTGGATAGATTACTCAATCAGTAATATTATTTGATTATTTTTATGTAGATAGGATAATTGCTTATAAAAAAAATTGAATCGATCGAATATGTTTAAAGTCTATAAAGAGACTGCGAGTGTGGGTAAAGAGCTACTGTTCATTTATTCACACTCACACAGTTATATTTTACAGAAAAACAGTTCATATAGTAATTTTATTATTACAATATTAGTTCAATAGTGATCTAATAGCACAGAAAAGTAGAGCGTCGTTTTCTCTATCATTCCATAGAAAAAGAAAATTTCTTCAAACTTTCTATATGGAAATAAGATAATGACGACACTACTTTTTGTATACCGTAAGTATAAAAAGATTTTCGACATCGTTTTGTATTTTTATAGCCACAGATGTTTTCATCAAGACAAATTTTCTCGCTTTAATTGAGAAAACTTTCACAAATGTTGTTATTGTATAAGCTCTACACTTAATCTACTTGAAAACATGTTCAGTCAAATGTTATTGTGACACCCATGCGTTTCGGTAAGAGTGTATCCGAGTATTTGTATCCACCCGCATTAACATCGGGTCCACCATCACCAAACGTCACATATTGCATGAGTCGTGCACAAATGGCTTTAAATTCTAGTCGAGCTAAATCTTGGCCCATACATTGACGATGACCACCTCCGAATACCATCCATGCTGCTTTATTGCTAATCGTATTAGCTTCATTTTGAAATCGTTCGGGATAGAATTGATCAGGATCTATCGGTCCCGACCAGTAGCGTGGATCTCGAGCAATGTTATACAATGAAATGAACACATGGTCACCATTGCTCAATTGAAAGTCACTCGATGGTAATCGATCATCGACTTGAAGTGTTCGTAGAGTACCGATTATAGGTGGTGCAAAACGAAGCACCTCACGAAGAACACAGTTCAAATAGCGGAGCGAATCAAGTTGTTCGACTGAGAGACGTTGAAGATAATATTCAGCTAATTCTCTTTTCAGTTTACTCTGCACTAAGGGATATTTACTCATGAGGTGGATGAACCAGGCAAGAGCTGTTGACGTCGTTGAATAACCTGCCGTCAGAAATGAGCACATTTCATTCATCACCTCAGTTCTGGAAAGACCTAAACCAATGAAATGAACATGTTCTTATCAAATTCAACTTCTCCCGATGTGATCATGTACCTTTTCTATCTTCTTCGGGTTTTGTAGCTTCGAAAATTTCGTTCTGTTGCAATGAAGTGACCAATGAAGCAACCAAACATGTTCGCTTGCGTTCAGCTCTCGTTGCTGGATTTTCGGCTAATTCTTGATCGATCATTCGTTGTAAATACTGATCAATAATAGCTTGCGATCGGCGATATTCTCGATTCAACAATAAGTAAATACGACCAATGACTGTTGGCAATCGTATAAGGTTCACTGCTGTACTATGAAATGTGTGCAACGCACGACACAGTTCATTCGAACTCTTATTATGCTCGTCGTCAAGTGTCTGTAGATCATAGTCAAATGCAATGTAACCGAAAATGGCAAGCAATAGTTGTTGACATTGTTCAATCATATTCAAGTGGATCTGTGTTGGGTTATTGTTATAAGTACGCCATCGATTTAATAATTTGTCTGTACAATCAATAGTCGTGTCTAAATGTATGCTAATTTTGTTGCCACGAAATAATGGACCGACAATACTTGCGTGCCGTTTATATTTGGCTCCTATTTTTGTCAAGAAGAAAACAATTATGTATTGTAGTTATCAAACACGTGGAAGAAAAAGAATTTTTTTCTACTATTCTCTTCTAACCTTTTAAAGCAATAATTCCATTTGGATTGACCAGACCAAATTTTTCTGCAAAAATATCTCCTTGATCGTACACATGTCGATGAGCAAAGATATGTTGTACATCTTCGAGTCGACTGACGACTACGATACGCGTAGGACCAAGCCAAAACTGATAGACATCGCCAAATTTAGCTTTGAATTGTAAAAACACAGTGTTCATTGGTACATCTTGTCCAAGAATTCCTGTTTGTAACATATTGCCAAAGAGAAATCCCGGTGCCAAACCCGCTATTGCACGATGCAAAGTAAAGTAGACATATTTGATGTAGTAGCATAACACTAAAATAGCTATAACGAGCGTTAGTAGTATCATGATTGACAAAGCAAGCGAATGTATGTGAAGCAACCAAATAATATCACTGCATTTGTGTGCACACTATTTTGCCTGTCGAGAAGAACAGAAAAAAGTCTATCTTTTACATTACTGCCACCGAGATAAATCAGAGGCCAAAATGTTGTTTCTCTCTCTCTCTTTGTGGATATAATGACTCAATTGATAGATCGACATGAATTGTTTCTTTTGAAGTGATTGTCTTTTATTGATGAGAATTGATATAACAAAAATAAGCATAAAATATGTAATGGTTTATTCAATGTTATTTTTTCTTTGTTCATATCTTTTTCTTTCAATTCTGGTTTCTTTTTTCTTTATTTTGCCATTTTCTTTCGTTTCTTTTTCTTGCCTGTTCTTCTTTCTTCTATTTGCTTGCTCTACTAGTGGATTCCCGCAGCTGCTTATGATTATTTCTCCCCTTTGTACTCTCTCCATTTACTTTGTCTATTCTTTATTTATTTTCTCGATACCTCTACGAGCCTAAATCGGTACTCAGCAAATTATATTGGTGGTATACAGTATAACACTTTGCTTTAATGTTTTTTTTATCATGTAAGCACTTTCGAGCTTTACATCTACGAGCATAATAAAAACATGACTCATAAACGATGACAGAAGACAGAGCGACAATATCATGCCGAATATAGCTACACGTACTATAATTCCGAATGTCTGAGTAAGTGATGGGTGTGGGTGTGGGCATGGATCGTAGCTGAAACCGGACCTGCAAAATAGTATCGGATCGGCAGGCTTTCATCGAGTTTTTTCATTTTTTTTAAATATTTTTGTGGCACTAAAGCTTAACTGATTTTGCTCATTTGTAACCGTTTTTTAAATCTCAATGATCAGAAAATATGAACCTAGAAGTTTTTCACAGATTAAGATTCAGTGGTTTTCAAAATTCTAGCTTTAAATATCGACCAACACTTTCTCATCCTAGAATGAGAGTCTCGTATCATGCCAATTAATCGTCAAAATTAAAGGTTCTTCACATCCAAATTTACTTACTTCTATGGACTAAGTTGAACTGACTCTCACAGAACTCAAATAGCTAGTAGCATTCACTTCATCTTCCAAAACAAAATATCAGATAAAATTCCATTCTGCTGTCGAGGTGTTGACAGTCACTAGCATTATGCAACTACGTTGATATTTAGATTTTAAGAAGCCTCAAACAGGAATTTTTATATAAAAACCGTACGCTTGAGCTCACTTTATCTTGCGGGTATGGATGTGGATGTCCGTTTTCTCGTGATCTACCTAGACACTCATACCCACCCATATGTATACTCTAATTTGTTTAAAATGTTTTGTATGCGTAATGTTTTCGTCATCAATGAAATAATCACAATATGATTCATTTTTTTCTTTGATAGATGTCTATTTATAAAAATGGATTGTCTGTGCACTGCATTGCAAATATTTAAAATCTTGAGAATGTATTGGAAAAAGTGCATACCAACATTCATCTCTTTAGGAGATCAGCTCATTGCCCTTACTATCATCATCTTCAGCTTCTTTGAAGTAGTTGAAAATTAATTAGAACATAGTTTAATCTTTGAGATATCTTTCTTGTCAGATTTTTTTAATAAGATTTATAACTCATTTGATATGCGTGAAACGAATGTATCAATCGATTGAGAAACTTTTACTGCAATTCATATCATCACCCCTACTTTCTTTTTGTTTCAATAAATACGTTTGATAAGAAATGTTTCTCCTCTGTTCTGTTTTTTTCCTATTGTTTCTAGACAGAAAAAAAGAATAATGTGAATGCAAAGTAGACGAAATAATGATCTCTCACAAGTTGATATTCATTCAGGGATATTAACTACTTGAAGAATATACTTATCCAAAGACATTTTAGCTATGACTAAGATTTGTAGTCGCTGTATGAGCGTATCAATAACAAAACCATCTTATTTCTGTTTTTCTTACTTGTTTTTCATAATTTTCATCGGATGTCGTTGTTATTGTCGATGTCATCAAACAAACCATGTATAAGCAACAATTGTATAACTATCATCAAGAACAAATTCAAGAAAAAGGAAACTTATTGTTGAAATCAAGTCTTATTCATTTTGTTTGTAAATAAACTTATTTCTTGAAATAAACGGATTAATGAAAATATATTCAAAACTACGGAGTGCTATTATCGCAATGTCATCACTTGATCGACCTCCAAATTGTTCATATTCACTTAGATTTAATCGAAGAAATTATGAATGAAAATTGTATGGGTGTGTGGGTGGGCGTGTAGGTGTTAGTTTTCTATTCACACACCCACCCCTAATAATATTAATAATAATAATAATAATATGATAAATAAAAGCATTTTTCATAGATCATTACCAATAGCTGTTAATGTCTGAAATGATAATTCACATATAGGTGAAACTGATCGTTTTTCTAATGAACGTGGCTCATCAAATATTTTATTCAATTTACCAGATTCATGAAGGGACAAACATTTTTTACGCAAGACTTTAAAAAAGTTTCAGTTTATTTGAAGTCATTTGAGAGCCCTTAATACCTGAAATTTTTCAACAATCATCAATAAAAGACATTTTGAAAGTTAACGCTGCCAAGGACCTTTTACAATTCTTTCTAAAATATTCTTTCAGTTTCCAATGTTAATGTTTTATCTCGATACATCGAAAATAATTTTTACGGCAAGATCGACTTTTTTTAATGAATATTGCGTATTGATAAGAGATAATAAAGCGTAAACATGAGAATGAAAAGTTGTTAACTATTAGCGTTTAGATTACCGGAATTATTTATACCAGGTGATCATTTAAGTCTACCAGCTATTCGTACAGTTCGGATACTTCGTCCATTAGATGTCATTCATCGTGTATCTTCAATGCGTATTCTTGCTATGCTTCTACTCGATACATTACCTATGCTTGGCAATGTACTTCTTCTCTGTTTCTTTTTATCTCTTTTTATCTTTGTTGTTATTGGTGTACAATTATGGAAAGGATTACTACGCAATCGTTTTTTTACATCTGAGTGCTACAAGTATAGATAATTATGCAATATTCGAGTATGTTTAATGAAAACTCAATATATCGTTTATTATTTTCTTTTTTAAGTGATTTCCCTTTCCGACCTTTTTTATATTCCTCCTGATCAAGATTCATTTATGTGTTCTTACCGCTNCTAATGAACGTGCCTATGAACCTCAAGATGAACAAACTCGCCATCATATACAATTAGATTCATGGACAACACAGCATGATTAACATGATGTGCGTGTGGATGTGTCTCGGAATGCCAAGATCGAGTTTTATTCGTAATGAGTAGAATATTCAATAACTGAAATTCCTTACCGTTGCTTAATTATCGAACTATTTAATGTTTTGAATACATGCTTTTATCTCCAGTATTATGATAATTAACTAGAATAAAACGATAATGCTTTAGTATGTGTAAATGTTAGAGAAATAATCTGTTTTTATTGTTTGTGTTTCGATTCTTGATAAAGGAACTTCAACCGCCAAGTTCTTTTCAAAGATTTGAATTGTTCCGACTACCAACAATTGGTTTTGCTGTTTGAACTGGTGTATTACGAAATGTATCATTCCATATTTAATGAATGGCTCGTTTATAATGTGAAAAACATTTTTCATGTGTATAGTGAAGAATAATAGAATTGACTCATTCTCGTCGTTTTAATAATTTTGCTTTCACTATTCGATCGCTGTTAAGATGAAAATTCTTATAACCCATTGTTTTGGTCATGTGTGCTGCTCGCCAATGTTCATGAATAGTTGCTTGATCTAATAGTTGACGACACAAATATAAAAATTCATTTTCGTCATGAATCATAGGCATAATTGGGGGTTTGGATGTAGATGGGTGTGTCAAGAGCTGAATAGAAAAGGTTTCAAGCAGAATACGGCGCGTTTGATCTTTGCTTAAGGGACTCGTCAGGTATCTTCAGAATCTAATGCTATATAAATCAAGCAATTAGATAGTTAACTAATACCTTATATATTCGATAAAATAATTCATTCTTGTGGAGGAGTCATAATAAAGGCCGCCAAAAAAGAACTGAATTATGAAGTCGAAAGGGGGTATAGTTAATGAGTAAATCTCTTGTTGATATATCGCATTAATTTTGTGAAACACGACCTGAAAGGAGTGTTGCAGTGTTCAAGAGCAGAAATTTGGACATCACCTCCAAATCTAGCTAGAAAATATGAACTACTTTCTTATAGTAGTCCAAGGGGATTGGGTAAACGGTTGGGAGCAAATGTACCGCAAAATACGCTGAACAAAATGATTTCGATGTATTTAAAAACAGCAAATGAATCGTGTTTCATACGTTAATCCCACAGGGATTGCACTAGTAGCTTTTTAATTTTTTTATGATAAAAATCTTAAAATTTCAGTATTATGTTGAAACAGATTCTCAGTGAACTAAATAATTCATGTTGAAGAGGAAAGTATAAATTTGCTGGACGTTTTTCAACAATACTTCAAGAAGGAATAGTTATGTGTAAATGAGACAGGACTAGGTGGGACTCTCAAATGCGAATGAAGCAGGAGCAGATGGGAGAAGACACGAAGTTGGTGGGACACGGGACGACTTTTTCGTCATCCCACGGGGCTCTGTATTGAACCATGTCAAATACATGAGATCAACAAACTAATCTTTGTTGAAATATGTCATTTATTGCAAGAACATAATTTCGGAGTTAACAAGCACTTGTAATGAATAATTCTTGCTCAATCTGATTCGATTGAAAAAGCACTATTAATGTTTTCATTATTTATTTTATTAATTTAGTAAGAAAAGCAAGGCAGTGTTCTAACAAAGGAAAATAAACATAGAAATCTTTTGAATGTGGTACTATTGTTTCACCGACATATGATTCTTTTACTTTGATACAATTAAGTCGTGTTGTATCTCTTATAAAGTCTTCTATGACAATGGCTAATTGATTAAAATTGACTGACAATTCGGTTAG